GGACACAAAACTAAGAAGAGACAGTCACTTCTTACCAAGACGCAGGAAGCGTCTGAGGAGTCTGAAGAAGGGAACACAAACTAATACATGAACGACATCGTTAGGCAACCCGTTCTCGCAAATTTAATAAGTCAATATTGACTTATTAAATATGTGCATAGGTGACATACTTAACATAATACATACTCTTAAAAAGATTCATAGAAAACACCGACCTTACCTAACCTTGTTAGTATGTTAAGATAAGCATCTTATTGCTTCGTAATTACAATTATTACCTAACCTATAATAGGTATAGGTTAAGTAATAATTGTAATTACGAAGCAATAAGATGCTTATCTTAAGATACTAACAAGGTTAGGTAAGGTCGGTGTTTTCTATGAATCTTTTTAAGGGTATCTATTATGTTTAGTATATCACCTATGCACGTAGTTAATAAGTCAATATTGACTTTACGAATTTGCGAGAACGGGTTGCGTTAGGATGCTAACAGCGTAAGTAGGGTGGTTGCCATACACATTCAAAACAGGAATTTTCTCAAATATAAATGAATATTATTTTTTATTATCATCTTGTACATATTTAAGTACTGGTTAGGTGTTTAGGTTCTGTTGGCGATTATTTGTACATTATTTGTATAAATACAAATAATCGCCAACAGAACCTAAACACCTAACCTATGTCTATATATACACAATATGCTAATATATTATAATATTTATTTACATTTGAGAAAATTCCCGTTTTAAATGAACAGCATGTTAAAATTTATGAATGTGTCAGTGGGGTCGACCGCTGGATGTAATGGACTTGAGTCGAGGACGGGTTGTGAACAACTTATTAGAAGACCAGACCTCCTTCAAGAGCAAGATTGTCACCTTAGTGGTGGTGGGCTTCGACCACTTCTATGTGGCTTCTGTTGCAATTTCATCGTGTTTCCCTACTGTGCGGGGTTCGAGCTCTTCACTCATCATCATATTGTTTCCTACTCTGACTGGCACACTTGGGGGGTAGGTGTGTTGTGGGTACATGATGCAGGTGGGATGCAGGTGGGTATTATGGGCATTATGATGTGTGGGAGTGGGGCATGTGTTATGAAGCGTGGGTGAAGACAAATGTGCGGGCAATAGGCGTGGGCAGCAGATCACTGCCCACAATTGTCGTTGTCTTAGCTATAACAAGAAAAAAGGGGGGAAGGAAGCCTGTAGTACTGGTGAGAGGTTCAAAAGCTTTGTCGTTTGTTACACAAAACCTGTCTGCGCTCAGCTCGCGCTGGGAGTCCATCGTCCCGTGTGTGTCGGGGCGAGGACACGTGTGTCGGGGCGAGGACACGTGTGTCGGGGCGAGGACACGTGTGTCGGGGCGAGGACACGTGTGTCGGGGCGAGGACACGTGTGTCGGGGCGAGGACACGTGTGTCGGGGCGAGGACACGTGTGTCGGGGCGAGGACACGTGTGTGTGGGCGTGACTAGCCAGGGAGGTGGCCACGCCCGCCTTGTACACACACACACGCCAGTACACGCTCACGGCACGCGCCAAGGTCGCCACACCTCGCCTCTCACCACCTCCAAGCTCCTATACTCTCCCTATACCAGGGGACAGGGACCCCGGAGACAGGGATCACACAGAAGACCACACAAAGGACCAAACAGAGGACCAAACAGAGGACCACACAGTGGACCACATACAGGACCACACAGGAGACCACACACTGGACCACACAGGAGACCATACAGAGGACCACACAGTGGACCACATATAGGACCACACAAGGGACCACACAGCATGGTCGCCACTCTCCCAACACCCACTTTACTTACCTTTCAATGTCAGATTTAATCCTCGAACTTAAACCGAACGTGATAAATTTTCCGGAGTGTAAATATGAATTGTGGGCGTGACGCTGATGGCTGGAACCGTCCCGCCCACAGTCCTTGAGGGCGGGGGGGGGGGGGGGGAGGCTGGTGACACTCTGTACAAGCACCAGCCTCACGCTCATCCCCCCCCCTACACGAACACCTCCCCTCCCTCTTCACACACGTAGCTACAAGGACACCTCCCAACACACCCTTCTGTTACGCTTACCTCCTTTATAACAAGGTCGGCGTACTAGCTGGTGCTCGTTCACACACACGTGTGTCCGGACGTGACACATATATGTAGGGATACATATGGAGTAAATAGTCCTCCAGACCCGAGGCTGGCGGCACCTACACAGACTCCTCAGGCAGGCCTACACAGACTCCTCAGGTAGGCCTACACAGACTCCTCTGGCAGGCCTACACAGACTCCTCAGGTAGGCCTACACAGACTCCTCAGGCAGGCCTACACAGACTCCTCAGGCAGGCCTACACAGACTCCTCAGGCAGGCCTACACAGACTCCTCATGTAGGCCTACACAGACTCCACGGAACAGAGATGTGACCGGGGCGGCCTATCACCAATGCCAACGGAGCAACACACATGCAACTCGCGACACATCTTAACTCTCCCGTGTCATATTGCAAGCATCTTAAACACGTCTGTCAAGTTTCATTGGCAGCTCGTGTGTCCCCGTGGTGCTCCTTGTAAGATTATTACACACAGGAAAACCCATATACGGGCCTGCGGGCCGCTCCAAGCAACAGCCTAGTGGACCAAGCTCTCACAAGTCGGGGCTTGGGGAGTAGAGCAACTCCCAGAACCCCATCAAGCAGGTATATATCATTCCCATCATCTTGGTGAATCAAGTCAAGACTGGGAAGTTTAGTCCTTAATTTAGGTCGACTTTGGGGTTATATCCGAGGAAGTGTAAGCCGCGCCTGGGAGCATGCCAGTATACCATTCTCTTGCTTCCAAGTACTTTTTGTCACACTGGACGAACGCATCAATGGCCGGTAATGGAGCCCCAGTATGCCTCTTTTTTGTTGTACTAATTTCTTTATAGACACCGGAAAAATTAAAGCTAAGACCCCGAACTTAAATATTGGTAGGCCTAATATAGCATATGTGTACCATATTAGGCCAGATGGTATTAGGCCTAGGATGGTTAGGCTGAGTTTTATTAGCAACATAAATATACAAACTTTTCCGACTTGTCCAAATTGAATACTACAAAGGTCTAGTTTCTGGTGCCCCAATTTTGCACACACTTTATTATATTATAAACATATATACACAAACTGTGATGTATTTACTATTTGTATCTGCAGAATCGAGCTATTAGCTCTTGGCCCCCCTCTTTTCTAATTTATTTTTCCTCTATTATGTCTACTACATTTATTTTTCTTAGACGCACACCCCCTTCCCCCAAGAAAGAAGCCCATAACCGCTGTCTAACTCCCAGGTATCTATTTACTGCTAGGTGAACAGGAGCATCAAGGTGAAAGAAACTCCGCCCATTTGTTTCTGCCTCTGCCTTGGATCGAACCCGAGCCCCTAGGATTACGACCACAGAGCGCTGTCCTCTCAGCCGCGAGGCCCCCCGCGTTCTGAAGTGTGCACACATCTAGTTGTGGTTGCGAAGGTTGAGCTCTGGCTCTTTCGGCCCGCCTCCCAACTGTCAACGTTTCTTCCACACACATATGCCCACCATGTGTGTGTGTGTGTGTGTGTGTGTGTGTGTGTGTGTGTGTGTGTGTGTGTGTGTGTGTGTGTGTGTGTGTGTGTGTGTGTGTGTGTGTACTCACCTATTTGTGCTTGCGGGGGTTGAGCTTTGGCTCTTTGGTCCCGCCTCTCAACTGTCAATCAACTGGTGTACAGGTTCCTGAGCCTACTGGGCTCTATCATATCTACACTTGAAACTGTGTATGGAGTCAGCCTCCACCACATCACTGCCTAATGCATTCCACCTGTTAACTACTCTGACACTGAAAAAGTTCCTTCTAACGTCTCTGTGGCTCATGTGGGTACTCAGTTTCCACCTGTGTCCAGGTGGGGTTCCAGACACGACACTGTGTGTGTGTGTGTGTGTGTGTGTGTGTGTGTGTGTGTGTGTGTGTGTGTGTGTGTGTGTGTGTGTGTGTGTGTGTGTGTGTGTGTGTGTATCAAATTTCACAATTTAAAAGTTTACGTTTCTTGGTTTATAGATTTATTTAATGTCCAGCAAGATGGAGCATCGCTCCACCACCATCGTGATGTACCAGCCTCCCTTGATACAGGCGGTGTGGTGGCCGCCCTTGCCACACAGGTGGACTGGATGAAGGGGTTTCGCAGAACACCCTCCGCGTGTTCACCCCACCTCACCCCCCCCCCTCTACACTTTGCTTCGTGGAGACACTTGTAAGATAACGTCTTCGCTACCACACCGGCAACAGTCGCAGAACTGACAGTAGTTCTGGAACGGACTGGAACAAGAATACACCCAAATACGAAACGAATTGTTATTTGATATGTGGGAGTCGTGTGTTGAACAATGAACAATGGTACAATGCCTATAGATTCTTCTCCATATCAACCTACCCAGGTTCTGCGCCCTGGAGAGGCAACTCCAGACCGATAACCAGAGCGCCACGCCATAGTCTCCTGAGACTGATGGATGTCTACTATAGATTCTATTTCATTTTGAAACTACAATGTATTTTAATAAACACAGGCTTTTTTTTTAATTATTCAAAGTGTGTATACCTGGATTGTACCTGAATGAGATTCTGGGGGTCTTCTACTCCCCCCAGCCCGGCCTGGGGAATGAATTTGTGCAGAATTGTAGTAAATGTACCGAGATTCCAGCAGCAGCAGGTGGTGTGTGGAGGTGGGACACGACACCTGGTGTGTCAAGACACGACACCTGGTGCGTCTAGATACGACACCTGGTGCGTCTAGACACAACACGTGCGTGAACACGACAGGTGTCGGGCATCAGGGGGCACGAGCAGCTGTGACATCTACCACTAACGCTATCCCAAACATTTTCTGCGCACGTGGTTGTGACTGACAACGTTTAGTGTCACGTGGTTGGTCTCAACATGTGTTGGGGAGGGGGAGAGGGAGGGGAGGGGGAGGGGGGAGGGGGTTGAGCTTACCATTGGCCGTGATGTAGTTTGAGGTAAAGTGGAGGTTGTGGTGGAGGTTGTGGTGAAGATGCTGGTCCCAGAGCGGCACGGCGGCCAGGTCCTCCATGGTGAGGGTGTCGGAGGGCGGGTGGTAAGTGTGGTGGCCGCCCAGCATTCCCTGCGACATCCTGCGCGACGCCCACACGACGCCCACACGACGCCTACACGACGCGTCGTCGTCGTCGCACGCTTCACACCACGCTCAACACCCGCTATCAGTCCATTGCTGGAGGCTTCACGACGGTGTGCTCACACTTCGGTCACAGTTGGCGGAGCTAGGGTGAAGTGTGAGGTAGTTGGTGGGTGTGGCGGGAGGGTGTGGAGTGTAGGTGTGGTGGATGAGGGGTAGGAGGGTGGACGGGGGAGGTAAGGGTGGTGAGGGTGTAGCCACGTGGGAGGACCATCACTCAGGGTGTCACGCTCACCTGGTCACGCTCGATACCTGTAACCGGAGCACAACAACACCCGCTCTCCAACACTACCATGCTCCTCCCTCAACGCTCCACCATCTCCTCCAACACTCCCGGCGGCTCACCACAACACTTCCATCAATGAATCCAAGTGTGGCACACTTTTCACTGCTTATTTACACTGGGTGTGGTGGAGGCATCAGTAACCTCACCTTGCACAGGGTCACCCGTCACCTTGCACAGGGTCACCCGTCACCTTGCACAGGGTCACCCGTCACCTTGCACAGGGCTCACCCCTCACCGTGCACAGGGTCACCCCTCACCTTGCACAGGCTCACCCCTCACCTTGCACAGGCTCTCCCCTCACCTTGCACAGGGTCACCCCTCACCTTGCACAGGGTCACCCCTCACCGTGCACAGGCTCACCCCTCACCTTGCACAGCCTCACCCCTCACCGCCAGAACACACTATTCACATGGGACTTCTATCCATTCTTCACTAATGACTTGAGGCAGCAGTCGTACGAGTAAGTGGTGAGTGTGGGTGGCCGAGACCAGGGTGAAGTGTGAGTGTGGCGAGGGCGCACACTGCCGGCCACCACCGCCTCACACTGCATGAGGGCACCTCCTGTGTGGCACGCTACACTAGAGGCACCACCCTCGCTGGCTCTCAACTGTAGGCCTCGGGCAATGACCGGGTGTGGTGTAGGGTGGGAGTGGGCGGGTGGTGACGGAGGCGGGCCAGGTCGACGGAGCCAAGGTGGTGTCCGCGGGTTTGGGCGGATGTCCACACACTGAGGGGAGTGAAGCCTCCCAGTGTCCCCTCTCCCAGTAGCTGGCTCTCCCGCCATCCCGCCCAGCCCGCCGCCATCTCTCCCCTCCGGCCCCGCCCCCTCCGCGCTCCCCTCACACACGCCGCCCACACACACACACGCCCTCCTCACGCCGCCACACACACACTCATCAACACACTATGAGGCACTCACACTAGCTCCTGGAGAAGTGTGAGGGGCGAGCCAGGGGGGAGGGGGGGGGAAGAGTGTCTCTCTCAACCACAGTAGCGGTGAGCGGCGCGTGCCCTTCTTGCCCTGGGAGCGGGGGTGCCTGGGTGCTCACAGGCACCACCGACCACCCGCCCCTCGTAACGATCACGCCACTCTTGCCCGCAACGCCGCCATTATCTGCCCACACCTGTGCCGTTGCCAAATCTTCCCACGTTACTGTGCGCGGCGGGTTATGCTCGGTGCGGGGCCCCCGTCGATACCTCGCTCGCCGCCCGTGCTCAACTGCCCGGGCCCCGCACCGAGCCTCAAAGCCGCCCTCCGCCTAATCACTTATTTATAGAATTTTCCAAGGATTTTCGCCCAAAGGATGAAATCAATTGCAGATGTTTTATGCCTGGCAGGGCGTGAATAGTGCCATGATGAGCCAAGGAGGGGCAGTGACTGGGGGAAGTTGGCCACCACTATTGTAGAGGCGGCCCTCACACTCCGGCCCTCACACTCCGGCCCTCACACTGCGGCCCTCACACTCCGGCCCTCACACTCTGGCCCTCACACTGCGGCCCTCACACTCAGGCCCTCACACTCCGACCCTCACACTCCGGCTCTCACACTCCCCCAGTTTACCTCAAGTCAGTTTCCAGAATTGTACTCCAGATGCGATAACTTGGTCCACCAGGCTGTTGCTTGGAGCGGCCCGCAGGTCCACATATCCACCACAGACCGGCTGGTCCGGCACTCCTGCAGGAGCCTGTCCTATAGCTTCTTGAAGACGTCCACGCGTCACGTAACAGGTGTTGCGGTAATATTGTTTATGTCTTGTGGAAGTAGATTAAACATCTGTGGGCCTCTGATGTGTGAGTGTGTATGGCGCCTCTACTCCTCACTCCCTCTAGTCTACACTTCACACCACATATTCCCACCCAGTATGTTGTTATTCTACTGTGCAAATTTAGGACCTGACCTTCCAGTATCATCCATGTATATATTATGTGATACCTTTCTCGTCTCCTTTCCAGAGAGTACATTTTAAGAGATTTGAGATGGTCCAAATAATTTAGATGTTTTATCGTGTCTATGCGTGCCGTATATGTTCTCTATTCCCTCTAATTCAGTGATCTCTCCCGCTGTGAAAGGGGAAGTGAGTACCGAGCAATCCTCAAGACGGGACAGCACCAGTGATTTAAATAGTATTAACATTGCTGTGGGTCTCTGGATGTGAACGTTCTCATAAACCATCCTGCCATTGTCCTGGCCGCCGCCGCTATATTTGCTCGGTTATGTTCACTAAATGTCAGGTCGTCAGACATCATAATTCACATAACTTTTACATGTTGCTTTCTCTCCATGAGCAGGTCTGATTGTCCTGTACCCTGTGTTTCGTGTTTTTATCTCTAAGTATCTGAAATATATCACTGCTCAAAATCGTGTTATTTTCTGACGCCCGGTCGAAGACGTTAATAATATCGGCTCGTACCTTTGAATTTTCTTGAGGTTATCTTGAGATGATTTCGGGGCTTTTTAGTGTCCCCGCGGCCCGGTCCTCGACCAGGCCTCCACCCCCAGGAACCTGCCCGTGACAGCTGACTAACACCCAGGTACCTATTTTACTGCTAGGTAACAGGGGCATAGGGTGAAAGAAACTCTGCCCATTATTTCTTTCCGGCGCCCGGGATCGAATCCGGGACCACAGGATCACAAGTCCAATGTGCTGTCCGCCCGGCTGACCGGCTCCCACAAATTTCTTCCACAGAAATGATTTTATGCTGATTTTGGTGTAGTCTGCCAAGGTGACACGAAGCCGTGACTTGTATTTCTGTTTGATATGAGGCTGAGAAAGAGCAGTGGTGCCAGGAGTGTGCCCTGCACTGCACACCTTCTTACTGCGCCCCCACTTGTCTTGGCTTGGTTAAGAAGTAATACTTCAAGTATAACAAGTTAACAAGTTATTCTTCGCCTTCTCTTTAACAACATTTAATATCCAGCTCCCTACTTTACCTGTTATTCCTAATGATCTCATTTTATGGGTTATCGTTCCATGCTCATACTTATCAAATGTCTTTGCGCAGTGTGTGTGTACAACAGCTGTACATTGTCTTCTAATACTTCCCTGATTATGTCAGTGGTCGAGTAACAGTGGTCGAGTAACAGTGGTCAAGTAACGGTGGTCAAGTAACAGTGATCAAGTAGCGGTGATCAAGTAACGGTGGTCGGGTAACTGTGACAGTCAGGAACTTCTCGCTCTCAACACTGGCTGACCTGGGCAAGGTAAGGAGCTTTGATCCACAAGACTATTATAATGTTGGCGTTACCTCGACCGGTCTATAGATTTTTGCCAAGTCTTTGTTACCTCGCTAACACTCGCCTGAATCCCTCACACTTAATTATACCAGACCTCCCTCCTCCCCCCCCCCTCTCTTAACTCTCACTCCATCACCAGCAGCCCAGCCACTTGGGCTGGACGGTAGAGCGACGGCCTCGCTTCGTGCAGGTCGGCGTTCAATCCCCGACCGTCCAAGTGGTTATACACCATTTTTTCCCCCCGTCCCATCCCTAATACTTATCCTGGCTCCTTCCAAGTGCTCATCTCACTAATACTAAGTTGAAAAGAAAAGCAGTTGAAGAATGGGACACACTAGTGAAAATTCTGCATCTACATCCGTCACCAACCTTGAGGTTACCTTGAGGTGCTTCCAGGGCTTAGCGTCCCCGCGGCCTGGTCGTCGACCAGGCCTCCTGGTTGCTGGACTGATCAACCAGGCTGTTGGACGCGGCTGCTCGCAGCCTGACGTTGACAACACCAAGATGGTGTTATTAAAACAAGACTAAAACCAATGCACTAAAACAGAAGCGAAAAAGACAGAGGGGAAAAAGGAGGAAACCCCACCTCCATTTAAAATTTTGACTCGAATATCACAGTAACAAGGTTATCGCGAATAACCCAACTCAATTACGGGCTCACCATAGCCCGTGCTACATGGACACTTCGCTCTGAGTAGCTACATCTAAAACAACGGAGTTGAACCTCATCTCCCGGGCTCCAGCTCCCTCCATCCTCCTGCTCTGGTAGAACTTATAGCAAGGATGAGAACCATAGTACACCTACCGACGTACAAGGCAATTAGAAAGTAGAAATAGGTACTATTGAATTTAGACAAACCGGAAATTTTGTTATATTTATGTTGCAAAGACAAACTAACCTAACCTTCCTAGGCCTAATACCGACTATCTGAGGCCTAATATAATATACATGTGTGCTATACTAGGCCTAATACCGGCTATCTGAGGCCTAATATAATATACATGTGTGCTATACTAGGCCTAATACCGGCTATCTGAGGCCTAATATAATATACATGTGTGCTATACTAGGCCTAAGAATATTTAAGCTTGTTTTTTAGCTTATTTTTTTTTGGCTTAGTACATCAATGTTTGTACGATGGTGCCCATAGTTGGAAAATGTACTGTCTAAACTTTAAGATGAGTTGCCCCATCCGTGTGTCGGGTGGTGGGCGTACTACCCGTACTACGGGCGGGTGGCGGGCGTACTACCCGTACTACGGGCGGGTGGCGGGCGTACTACCCGTACTACGGGCGGGTGGCGGGCGTACTACCCGTACTACGGGCGGGTGGTGGGCGTACTACCCGTACTACGGGCGGGTGGTGGGCGTACTACCCGTACTACGGGCGGGTGGTGGGCGTACTACCCGTACTACGGGCGGGTGGTGGGCGTACTACGGGCGGGTGGTGGGCGTACTACGGGCGGGTGGTGGGCGTACTACCCGTACTACGGGCGGGTGGTGGGCGTACTACCCGTACTACGGGCGGGTGGTGGGCGTACTACCCGTACTACGGGCGGGTGGTGGGCGTACTACCCGTACTACGGGCGGGTGGTGGGCGTACTACCCGTACTACGGGCGGGTGGTGGGCGTACTACCCGTACTACGGGCGGGTGGTGGGCGTACTACCCGTACTACGGGCGGGTGGTGGGCGTACTACCCGTACTACGGGCGGGTGGTGGGCGTACTACCCGTACTACGGCGGGTGGTGGGCGTACTACCCGTACTACGGGCGGGTGGTGGGCGTACTACCCGTACTACGGGCGGGTGGTGGGCGTACTACCCGTACTACGGGCGGGTGGTGGGCGTACTACCCGTACTACGGGCGGGTGGTGGGCGTACTACCCGTACTACGGGCGGGTGGTGGGCGTACTACCCGTACTACGGGCGGGTGGTGGGCGTACGTACTACCGTACTACCCGTACTACGGGCGGGTGGTGGGCGTACTACCCGTACTACGGGCGGGTGGTGGGCGTACTACCCGTACTACGGGCGGGTGGTGGGCGTACTACCCGTACTACGGGCGGGTGGTGGGCGTACTACCCGTACTACGGGCGGGTGGTGGGCGTACTACCCGTACTACGGGCGGGTGGTGGGCGTACTACCCGTACTACGGGCGGGTGGTGGGCGTACTACCCGTACTACGGGCGGGTGGTGGGCGTACTACCCGTACTACGGGCGGGTGGTGGGCGTACTACCCGTACTACGGGCGGGTGGTGGGCGTACTACCCGTACTACGGGCGGGTGGTGGGCGTACTACCCGTACTACGGGCGGGTGGTGGGCGTACTACCCGTACTACGGGCGGGTGGTGGGCGTACTACGGGCGGGTGGTGGGCGTACTACTACTACGGGCGGGTGGTGGGCGTACTACGGGCGGGTGGTGGGCGTACTACCCGTACTACGGGCGGGTGGTGGGCGTACTACCCGTACTACGGGCGGGTGGTGGGCGTACTACCCGTACTACGGGCGGGTGGTGGGCGTACTACGGGCCGTACTACGGGCGGGTGGTGGGCGTACTACGGGCGGGTGGTGGGCGTACTACCCGTACTACGGGCGGGTGGTGGGCGTACTACCCGTACTACGGGCGGGTGGTGGGCGTACTACCGGGTGGTGGGCGT